AAAATATTAATTAAAAAAAAAAGTTGCTACCAATAATTTTATTTTTTTTAAACACTTACATGGTTGACAGAACACAACATAATTTCAAAATTGATCAGTTTAAAATTATCTAAAATCTTATATATACCTTATAACTCACGTGCATGAGATCAATACCAATAATTTTATTAAAGTTATTAATTTTGATTATAAATTTATTAATTTATAATTTTTTTAATAATTTATTATAATATTTAAAAATACATGTTTATAATTCACTGTATTATTAGAAGTTCTTTTATTTTATACGCAAAGGTGACACTATATACATTTTAATAAAAAATTTTATAAGTTAAATTGTATTAAATTGCATAACTATAATAATTTGATAGGGTAAGTTTTTTAATATCAAAAGTTTTACATGTTTAATAAGTTTTATTTTATAATTTAATTAAATTATAAAATTTAAATTATAAAGTAAAATATATTTTTTTAATAATACTTGAAATAGACGAACGACCTAAATTAGACTAACGATCTAAATAATTTAGTGATTATCTCTTACCATTAAAAATAATAAATTTTAATTATTTTAAGTTAAAATCACATAACATTCAGTAAAATAAAATAAAAAATAAAAATACTTGAAATGGTAAAGGCGACGCTACGTGAGCATTTTGTCTTAAAAATCAATGTCAATTTGACAAGTTATTAAAATAAATTGCAGAACTACCATTCTAAAGAGCCTGAGGGAATCGGAACGATCGTTGCCTCGCATCAATCTAATGGCTCCGTGGGAAGTACAAACAGCTCATCATTGCAAAAGAATTCTTCTCCTAATTCATTAATAGAAATTTGACGCAATCCACTGATGAAGCACATCAGTGGCAACATGTTTCTCTCGCAGGAGGGGCCGGAGAAAGAAACTTGACAATGCCAAGCCTTCATTTGAGCAGGAACATGAAAATGATCGATCGACCAATGCAACAATCTGCTATGGATAACTCCATTGAAGAAGCCATGAAAAGACTGTCTAATTAATTAATTTACCACTCCAGGACATCGATAAGTGGAAACCCTCCATCTTTCAAGGCAATCAAGGATTCGTTGTCACAATGTCGATCTTGACCAAAGCAGGTCGAGATGTAAAGTTATGGCCTCAAGGTGTTCTTCCTTAGAAGAACGAACATGACAGTAAGTCGTACGTAGGCTAGAATAGGCAATGATCCTAGCTTTGATGATTCGAGTGGGAACTCCACTCTTGATGTTCATCTTCACCTTAATGGAGACCCTATTGTAAGCTAACCCAACTTGCTTGGGTATGCTTTTGTATC